TCCCAATCATGTCCCACTCCTTATCGAGATGTCACCTTTCAGCCTTTCTCCTCTTTATTTTTCCAGCCCTTGCAGCCCTGCACAGCCTCCTCCCCGCTTCCCCAGTTTGATCTTTTTTGCAAGAGCGCGATCCTGGCTCGCACAGCATTATGCATGCACATCACCATCCCTGGTATGCGGCTTAAAAAAGAAGAAAAAGGAAATAAAAGAGCACGAGCTATTTCGAAGCAGGCCTGGTGCCAAGCAGAGCCTTCAGCCTGCAGAAACCCAATGAGAGCAAAGTGTCTGGCCGAGTGCGCTCTGAGCAGCGAGCCAAAAGCAGAAGGGAATGGAGGAGCTACAGGTATCTATCCTGTAGGCTCCATCACCAAACCGTTGGATTTTTCAAGTGCTAAGAGCCGAGGTCCTTGAGTCAGATCAAATCCCGTGTGTATGTGAGCGAATTGTGATGGGGATCATAGAATTAGTAAGGATGCAGAGCCCCAAGAATTGCATCAGGCAGAAGCAGCACTTGGGGACTTGCTGCCTCCTGCCCATAGGGGCAACTCTATCTCATATTATCGGGTTTCTGACCAGTGCAAATCTCTGCATCTCCCCTTGCCCATGTGGAATGGAAGGATGGAGGCTTTTTCTGACCCCACAGCACCTGGAATAATTTAGAGCAGGCAGCAATTTTCTGCTTTGGAAATAATTTCTCTAACCTCTTCCTGCCCCCGCTCCAGACCCCTCTGCACAGCCCATGCAGCCCCATCACCATCGCCCTCTGCAACGAGCAGTTACATTAACACGGGTGTGAAATATGGGCTGGGACGTGGTTTGGGGCCGCATGATAGAATAGAAGTAAGTTTTATATCATTTTATGAAGGGTATTAATCACTGCTACATCACAACGAGAGCCCCGTGGAATCACATCCCACTGTCTCCTAAACTCACTGTGATTGATGTCACTCGGGTGACAGTGGGTACAATTGATGTTGGGAGCGGCCAGCACTGGGGATTTGCTGCATTTGGTGCTTTCTGAGCCACCACGAATGGGAGGGATCCTCAGAACCCAGGCCAGGAGACAACAGCTTCTGTCATGTTATCAATCTGCCCTTATGATTCACCTTTTATCCGGGGTGACATTTATGCTGCCCCTGTGACACGCACACGGGGGCCCAACAATCCCAGGGCTGGACGATGTAGAGCCCCAAAAGTGACACTGGGGCAGAGCTCTGCGATGGGACGAGACAGCCCAGGCGGGGGAGGGGCTCAGCTGGGACATCCTCCATCTTTCAGAGCAGCCCTCAGATCATCTCCCGTCACAGCCCGATTTTCCCAAAATCGCGCAGTTTCTTCCCACCTTCAGCACCGCCCCCGCCACGGTTGGTCGCAAAGAGCGGCGCAGAGCCATTTCCAGAACCCCCCACCGCTCCCTTAAGGCTCTGCTGAGCGCAGCGCCCGCGGGCGGGATTTGCGCGGGGCGCGCAAAATCCGCGCAGGGCGAAACATCCGCGCCGCGCTCAAAACCCGCGCAGTTTGCGACATCCGCGCGTTGTGCGACATCTGCACCGCGTTTCCCGACGCTGCGCTCGGGCAGATGTTGAAGACGTATGAGCGCGGAGTAGTTAAAAGCCGCATTATATAGTTCTGCCGAGTCTAAAATCGCATGTGCTGACCCATATATTTTAAACTGTAAACGGACTCCAGTCATTTAAAATATTGCAACGTCGATAGGACTAATTAATTGGAAATAAGAAACGAAAGAATACAATTAAACGAGGAGAGAATCATTTTCTAATTTAATAGCGGGACATTTATAAAGATCACGAGCTAAAAGGCGGCCGATGATCCCATCGACGCGGCGCTAAATCAGCGCAGCCCGGGGGGGGGGATTGAACGGAGGGAAGCGGCCCCGGCCCCTCCCGCGGGACCCCGCGCCCATTGCGCGCCCGCGGAGCAGGAGCGGCTCCCCGCGTCCACGCCGCCCTCCGATAAGGGGATATTTTATCGGTCCCCATTTCCTAACCGTAATTTATGGCGATAAAACAGACACCCGGGGTCCTCTGAAATTGTCTTTTCATAATGAATAAATTTAAGGCGGCTAATTAATATATAAACTAACCCAATTTGTCAGGTTGATTTGTATTTTAGTTAATTGTGAAAGTAATTACCACACGGGCAAATTAACAGCTTTCTGGAAATGACCAAGGCAGGGGTTTTATTTCCTTCCTGGGTGAAGAAAATTCATTTTTCCCAGCTCTTGATGTGATGAATAAAAGCCATAAATCTGCGTGATTGGTGCAGGCAGAGTCTAAATGGCTTCATATTTCATTTTAGGTTTAATAGAAATATTCATGCTCTGTTTTAATGAAATTAAATTGAAGGGGGGGTGGACGGCGGGGCCGGCGCTGGGCGCTTAAAGGGGCCGCGCACGGGCGGGGGCTGCGGGTGGGGCCGGGGGAGAGCAAGGGCCGTCGGGCTTCGGTTAGTCCGGGAAAATAAAATAATAATACAATAAAACAAGGAAATTAAGTAAAGGAATGGCATTCGGTGCGGGGATTGCGGCGGGAGTAGAAATAGAGGTGCGATTTTGGCAACGGGGACGCGATTTTGATAACAACGAAATGATTGGGGTTTTTTTGCCCGAGGTTGTGTGAACGGTGAGGAGCGAAACTGTGGAAGTTGGTTTGAAGGAAAAAGAAAAAGAAAAAAAAAAAAAAAAAAAAAAAGGACACGCAAATAGAAAAATAAAATACTTTTTAAGGGAAATACGCCAATACCACGGCCTACCCTACACGGCCGCTTTTTCCCCCAGTGGACGGGTGCGGTGGGAAGAGGACGGGAGGCTTTCGAGCGGCCCATTCGCAAACCGGCCCCTCTTTGCAGGACTGACACCTCCTACGTGTCGTTTTCCTCGGAGTGGACCCGGGAGGGAGACTCATAGGAGGGAGAGCTGAGGAGGAGGACTCAGAGATGGGACCTAATAGGACCTGGGGTGGGGACACCGGGAGGGGTCACCATGCGGGGGGGACCCAGGGAGTGAACCCAGGAGGGAAACCTAAGGAAGGCACCGAAGGAAAGGACCGTAGGGCTTAAGGTGGACCCAGGGAGAGCGCCCGAAGGGGGACATAAAGAGGGGACCCGGGGCTCACCCAGCCCTACCCCGCCTGTCCCACGCTTCCCAGTTCCAGGCAGACCCCGCCGGCCGTGCCGTGCCGGGGAGCTGAGCCCCGCACCCCCCGCAACTCCCCCGTAGAGACTTGTTGATTTCCCTTGAGCAAATCCGGCTTTGATGCAGTCGTAGCGAGGGCGGCGAGCTGATGAATTGACAAAAACCAATCAGCTTTATTGGGAAACAGGTTAAGGGCAGCGGAGTGTCAATAGCTCTCCGCCCGCCCCGTCCATTAGCCGAGCAGCCTGATTACACCGAGCAGACCCTGCGCTGCTCGCACCTAAATTGCTTTCATAAACGCGCCATTACCAGCAGTCGACGCGGGCGGCTCATTTAGAGCCATCCCGGGGCTGTCACATCTATCAGGGGGGGTTATGCTTCATTATCCCACGTACGGAACGTCGCGGTATTTAGGCACTGAAGGTGCGGAGCGGCTCGGGGATCCGCGGGGCTCCGCCAGTCCCAAGCGGGGCTGCGGCCGTTCCCACGGGGAGCCCTCCGAAGGGAACGGAGGGGTCGGTGTGCCCCGGGCACGGGGGGTCAAAGGGAGAACCGGGGCGGGCCGCTATCGCCGCTGAGATAACGGAGCATTGTTGGGCCCCGGGAGGGCGTTGGATCAACACAGGTGGGAGCTGCGGGAGAGGGGGATGTCCAGAGAGGGGGGAGAGGTGGGGAATGTTAGAGAAGGAAAGGAAAAGAAACGAGAGGAAAGGGAAAAGGGGGAAAAGGAAAAAGAGGAAATGGAGGATAAGAAAAAATAAAAGAGGAAAAAGAGAAAGGAAAAATTAGAGAAAAAGAGAGGGGAAGGGAAAGGGTAAAGGAAGGGAAGGGAAAGGGGAAAAAAAAGGGAAGGGAAGGAAGAGAAAATAGGAAAATAAAAAGAAAAAAAAAGAAGAAGAAATGGAAATGAAGTAGAAAAGAGGGAAAGAAAAAAAAAGGAAAAGGGGAAAACAAGGAAAAGAACTGAGAAAAGAAAAAAAGAAGAAAAAAGGAGAAAAAGGAAAGGGGAGGAAAAAAGAAAAAGGGAAAAAAAGAAAAAGGAAAAATGTGAAAAGAGAAAAAAGGAAGATGAAAAAGAAAAAGGAAAAAAAATGGTGGGGAGGAAAAGCGAAGAGAAAGATAAGAAAACGGCAAAGGGGGAAAAGAAAAAGAAAAGAGACAAAAAGGAAAAGA